CGTTACGGATAATATTTTCAATCTGTGGAAGTGGTGACAGTGACCCTTTTTTAGCGTGTATGCGCACCATTGTTCAATTTTGAATCGGAAAATAGCCGTTTAATAAATTATGATTTTTGAATAAAAAGATATAATTGAGACTTGACATTGTTTATGGGCTTCGACCGAGCATTATTTTATTATTATTTTACTTTGTTTCTCGCTCTTCTGCTATCTCTTTCAATCTCACACCATTTGGGGAGTTTGCCTTCTTCTCGTTCCTCTTATTTCACACCCGAGTCTAAGTGAATGGCCATTTATTCCGCTCAAGCGACGTACAACAACTGTTATTACTATTAAATACGAAATATTTTTTTTATTATTTAGTTGATTCCGATGGAATACAAATGACGATGTGTCATCGATTGATAAAGTAACACTTTGTGCTCGACACGCATGTTGAGCCAAGTTTCTTCAGGGTTTTTTTTTCTTATCATTTAATTCTCGACTCAGATTTTTGACAACCATTGAAGACATGTCGTATGTAGGGTATGTAACATGTATATTACATATGTGTCTTTGCGAAATAAGTCTGCGCATAAAAATTTTGTTTCGAAAAACCATTTAACGGAGGAAAATCACGTGTATTGAAGAAGAAAAAAATCATAAGATGGATGAAAATTGTCAACTTTTGTCGGTTCTATTCGTCAAATTTGTTTGATTGGTCAAGATTTCTAGAGCATTTCTGCATAAATTAGCCGTCGATCGACCGGCGTTTGTTGAACAAAGAGAAAAACATGAAAAGTAATATTCCAGAATTCGGAGTGAAATGCCGTCAGCAATGCGAAAAAGAAAGCCATTTACAAAAGTAAAAATTTTGGCGTGTCTGCGCAAATCTTATGGAGTGGATGTGCGAACGAACGATTTGAAATGCGATTTGGTGTTGAACGATTTGAAATGACTTTGACTGTTCATAGAACATTTGGATGCGCACAATTTTTGCGGCTATTTTGGATCGTATTGTTTCACACTTGTTGTTACGGGCGGGCAAAATCGTGATTAGTGAATCTTTGACTCATTTTTGGTAAATGATTTAAATATTCTGCATCAGAGATTCACTTTGTTCTGAATCTGTGATTCATAAAATTCTGGAACATTTTCGATTGGGCAATTCAATGGAAACTGAATCATTTTTGGTCGGCGATTCAGAGTACTCCTGATCATTCATCAAAAATGGATCAGTGATTAGTGATTTAGAATACTCTGGATCATTCCGAATAATAATCCCGTAATTCAGATTTATGAATCTTTGCTACTGAGTCCGCCCACGCGTACTTGTTGTTGTTATTGTTATTTTTCACTGTTTCTCCTAAATGAGATGGAAACCAAACATGCTTCGAGTTTCTAATCAGCCCGAGAGAGATTGAATATGGTGAAAAAAAAAGCAAAAACACTCACTCACAGCGACTGAGCAAAAGCGGTATGCATGCAGAGAAAATTGAATTTTGTACGATATCGTGCATTTCATGAATTATGATAAGATGCATTTTGAGCGGTAGCGAGCGCTCGCCTTTGGATCGATTTCAATGGCAAAATTGTAGTCGAGCAAAAACCAGAAATCGTTGCATGCGAACGACACAAACACATGCATCGGACTTTCTTATGGGTTCAATCGAACGAAATCGCTTTGCTTGTTTTGTTGGTTGATCGGTTTTCGTTTCGTTTTTCTTTTTTTTTCATATATGTGCATTTCCACGCGATCGCAATTTTTCTACAGAAAGCAAACAAACGCAGAAATTAACAAAACGAAACACACACGAGGCAGAAAAAAAAGAAATCATTTGAAATCGAAATGAAAGCCGTTTTTGGCCATTGCAATATGCATCGATTGCCATCAAGCACGCCTTCACCAGTCAATACGACATGTGGTGCCATTTTCGAAGCAATTTTAATTAAGTTTCATTCACGTGTGCTCTATGCGATTTGCAAACATTCACCGGAATCGAATTGATTGACACTCCAGCAATAAGCCGACAATAACATCAGCAAAAATCTCCACACGCCGATTTTCATATACCAATTCCGGACTATGCTCATCTCACACGCCTAATTGTGGCAGCGGTCAGGCCGGCGCCACAAATGTCTTGAACCATCATTTGTGGCAGTCATTCATGCACACAGTTCTCATCAAATGGCGTTGCTACCATCGAATGCATCGCCTGTAATCATTTTTTTGTTTCGTATTTTATTTGCTCCATTCTGTTTACTATTGTTGAACCTTTCTTTCCATTCATTCGGTTCAATGCACAACACATTTTTCTTTCACAAATCAAATAACTTCCTACATCATTTCGTATTAATTTCGTTTCGTCTTGTGTGTTTGTACGCTGCGATCGAGTGTGCCCGTGCGCGCAAGCACTATACTCCAATTGATCGTGCCAATGCATTTCGAAGCAGCAGCAGCAGCAGCAGCAGCAGCGTGCGAATATAAACCAATTTATACCCATATGCAATTTAATATTATTTTAATCTCTTCTTCAATTCACGCCCCAGCCCCGGCACCTCTCTTCGTTTCTATTTTCTGTGCATTTTCAAGTCGTTATGCACAACAACGGCCCAACAGCTACTTGAATTACGATGCCATTCTTTTGCACGTACATATATTCATCGCAAATCCATGTACGGTTGATTTGATTATGGCAAATCAATCATAACAGAAAATAAAAAAAAACGACGTCCCAATGAAGTGGAACTCAACAGGCTGAACGGGTTTTCTGTACTTCTGTGAATTTGCAACGGCTTCTTTTTCATCTTGATGTGTGTTTCTTTTTCTTTAGCAAAACTGAAAATCATCTGAAATGTACATTGTACATCGACGCAATAGAAACACATATAATTGACTTCTGGAGAAAACATTTTTTTCTATTAATTCAATTTTGTATTGAGGCATTTTTCTTCTCTTCTTCGGCGGAAAGTAAAGCATTTTTTTTTCTCTTCTTGGTTTCTTGAACATCGAATTGAACATTTTTCGCTTTTCTTCTTATTTCATAAATTCCAAAAAGAAAAAGAAAAATAAACAACGATTTTGCGGATTTCCTTATTGTTGTGATAAGTTATCACTGATAACGATTTTAGTTATGTCACTCTTAGAGCCGCATATCCCAATGGCTGACACACAGTCCATCAATGTGTCTTTTTTCATTGCATCACATCGACGGATGTATTAATCAAAGCCTGGCGAATAAGCACAATCTATCTCGGAAAGGAAATTGGACTTTTTGTGAATTTCGTTTTTGAATCGTCGCAATTTCGTCGGATAAGAATCGAGCTCATTCATGTAGGAAATTCAATATTTTCTCTGGAACCTATCTAAAACAAATCTGAATGATTTTGAAAAACATTCTGTCGTTTGTAGCTCTAATTTAGAGGCTCTGAATGGCAGATTTTACTCAATACTTAACAAAAATAATTGAAATAACCACTTCCACCATACACTTTTTTGTCGGTAATTTTTTTTTTATTGTGATGAAAGCTTTTTGTGTATAATGTGTTGTCAAAATAAAATCACCAAAAAATTGTGTGTGTGTGTGTGTGTGTGTTCTTCTTTTTTGTACGTTAAGAGATATAGAACAAAAATTGAATACTCTGTCAATGCTTAAATACGATGTGAAAACTTGTACTTGTATCGCTAAAAAAATATTGCATCCATAAAATTCATTGCAAAATTGAAATAAATTTTTGAGATTGCATCTAAAAATAAATGTGTGATTAATAAGGCAAACATGGTGTTATTCCGTGGGTTTTTTCTCCATCGATTTGTTGGCCTGGATGTTTGTTTTAGGCTTTTGATGGCGGTTCGGCTTTCATGGGCGCCGAAGTGTTAACGGTGCTGCCAACGGCAAAGTTGAATCCAGGGTTGGGCATCGTTTCCAATTGATCGGCGAGACGTTTCTGTTCGTCGACCAAGCGATAAATTTCGTTGCGTTCATGCTTTGTGAGTGGTCGTCGCTTTTGCTTAGCGGCAAATATTCGTTTGTAGGCCTCGATAATCTGTGGATTAAAAATAAATCTTGTTAAAATGTTATTTTCTTAATCAAAATTAATAATATCATATTTTTAATATGTTTTTTTTCTCTGATTTTGAACGATTTACTGACGAGTTTCCTTTTCAAACAATTCAAGACTTTTCAATATGATTCGAAAAATTCAAGGATGATTTTCAATTAAGATAGGTCAATCTTTTACCTCTTGATCAATTCGATCGAGTTTGCGTTTCATGTCCAATCGTTTCATTTCGTCTTTGGCCACTGCTTTCAATGTTTTTAATTCGTTGCGATTGAACTCAGCGATGGCTTGTAGTTCGGTGCGAACTCGTTTGATCTCATTGAGCACTTCGTCTTCTTTCTCTTTTGCAAAGTCACTGGGTTCAAAGATGCCCAGGTCGAGCAATTCTTTCTTAAGCCGCTTCTCCACATCGATGCCGCCCTTGAAGAGCGAAGTTATCGAACCATTTTGCGCTCGATTCGCCGATGATGGATTATTTTCGGCGCAACTATCATTGCTGTCAAGTGCATCGCTGCATCCGACCACATCGCTTTGCATATCCGAACTGTCTTCCAGCAACGCTGACAGCAATCGTTGTGTTAACGGTCCACAAACACCTTGACCCATCATCTTTTCGCTGCCTTTTTTCATTGCATCGTCAGCGACATTGGAATTCTGTAAACGTTTCGACTTGGCATTGTCTTCATCGTTTGCCGCCCAACGAACGGCATAATGTGAACCGAGCTCAGGTATTGAAGGCACTAACGGATCGGTATATTCATCGATTAAATCGTCCAAAAATTTGATATCCTCCTGTGTAATTGGCATACAGTAGGGTTCAACGGAGAGCCAAAATTTGTTCGGCACATCGTTTTTGGGTAAAAGTAATTTTGGATTTGGATGTGAACCGCCAGCGCTGGGACTTGGCATTGCGTCAATACTTTGGTCGAGCTGCTGTGCCGGTGAATTTGATGAGCTACTTTTGATTTTCGAATGCTTTGTGTGACTGTGTCGATTTGAATCTTTCGATGATGATTTTTTGTCGTCACGCTTCCGTTTGCTGCCGCTTTGCTTCTCTTTTTCTGCATTTTTCTTCTGATGCTTTCGATGTTCCAAGTAATCGTAGTCCGTTTTTAGGGCACGATATCGCAACGAAACCGATGATAACAGAACCTCCAACTCCATTTGAATTGCATCCAACTCTTCCAGCGGCAAACAATCATCCTGCACATTACTTAACACTAAAGAGAGAAAACGATTGGGAATTAAATTTTATTCAAACAAATGGAAATTCAGGGCATGACTTCAAGTCGTCGTCACTTCAACCATTCACATGCTTCATTTCACTAACCAAAACTGTATCGCGGTAAACGCCTTGAGTTCTCCTCAATTTTGATATGTGACGCCAGACTCATAATTGGCTTAATTGTGGTGTCGCCAGAATGATGATGCTCCCGATGATGGTGATGATGATGGTGGTGGTGGTGGTGGCTAGACTTATGCTTCGCCGGTGAACTTGACATGGTTTTTTTTTCTACAAATGAACAAAAAAGACGTTAATTTTGCTTCGAAATACACAATTCAAGTGAAATTTAATTAGATTTAAACTGTTGAACATAACAACTGAACAAATCGAATGTTTTGATGAAAAACATGCTCTACACTTCTGTATTCATTGCAAAAAGATCACTTTCCACTTGATCACAATGAAAAAAAAAACTCCATGTCTCTTAATACTTACACAATTATTTCAATCCAAAAATGCAGCAAATTAAAAATATTCAAACAAAATGAAAATACACGCAGAAAAAAAGTAGTTGTTCATTTGTTGTTTGCAAATTGAAATGTTTACACATTTGTTTGCATCGTCATTTATATGTGAAATGCGCTTGTGTTTGTGTAGCTAAGTGACCCCTCTATGTTTGTTTTGACGCTTCACCACTAGTTCCATTCAATTATCGTTTAGTGTGGACAAATGAATTTCTGTCAAATGTCAAACGCGCGTCTCTTGCAACTATTGGTCTTCTGTTCGCAAAATCAATTTCTAATTTATGAAAGCACAAAATAATGCAGGCACATTTTTTTATAGAGGGTAATAAGTTTCCTGAGTTTCGCTTCACAATTGATTATGCATCTCAATTCACAGATAAAACAATTCGTACGAATTTGAGATAAAACTCAACTGAATCGAAAAATGACTCAGAAAAGCATTCAAACAACATGGTATACGAATAATGAAAACAACGCATCTGTCAATCGAATGGATATGTCTTTCGTATTGTATGTATACCGACTTTAGACAAGTTTTTAGTGCCATCTATCAGTGAAATGATGAATATGGAATTATTCGAGAGAAAAAATCGTCGGTTCGAAACAGGAAAAAGTAATAGCGGAAGAAATGTTAACAATTTTTTCTAGTATTTCTCCATTGAGTTCGGAAAACACACAAACAATTAATCCATTTTCCATTGCATGAAATCTTTGCTTAAGGAATCTGCTGCTAAGCCAAAATTCGACCAGTTAATTTACCTATTGTTCCTACACTCATATGTCCTAGGAAGAGATTTACTTTTCTCGAAAGAAGCTGATGATTATGTACCATCCAAAAACAACTATAATTTAAAAAAAAGTAAATTCCAATTTGATGGATTGAATTAATAACCACAAATGAAACGATTTTCCCACTTCCACTTTTATTCCATCATTTTTCCATTTGTCAAACAATTACACCTCAACTATTTAGATTTGTGCTTCAATTCATCCCTGCGAGATAAGAGTCAAATTACTACATGAAAAAATGAATAAATTCTAATTTCCCTTATAGAAGGAAATGTTGAAAACACAAAACGAAACATTGTTTGTTAACCTTCGTTTAATCAAATATTTGCCTAGGCTGCTTCGAAAATATCACTAGATCTGCACTTCTTCATCAGCTTGAATCCACCGACTGTGTGGGTCAATTCGTTCTTTTATCCAAGCATCTCGCACTACACCAATTTAGAAAGAAATTAGATAACTTGGTCAATGAAAAAAAGTCAAAGGAAAAAGAGATTGATTTTACCAAATGAGAAACCGAGCGCCACAGCTACGACCAGGATATAGGGAAGGAATTCTTCTGTTTGCCTTTTGATTTGCTCTCTATATATTTTACTTTCGGTTTCAGTTCTACTATGAGCATATTCTTTAAATAGGAAGAGCACCGTGAATGGAAGAAAGCAAAGTGATTCCCAGTACATTTTTTGATTGGAAGCAGTCATGATTCGATTGATCAGAAAGTTCTCTGCATTGGATTCATTTCCTTTTGATAAATAGTGTTTGTGTTTCATAGCTGAAATACATTCATTACATTATTATTGTTATTGAAACTCAGAATTATTGCCTGGACCACACATACCAATGATAATTATGGAAAAAATAATTAAAAAGTCCGTTTCATAAAAGATGCTAAGGAATGACTTAACGAGTAATGCATATCCAATGGTACAACAGAGAATATATAAAATTACTCGATGCGTTGCAGTCCGTTGCAATAATTGCTCTTGTGTCTTGAAAAGAAAATATAGAGTTAAGCCTATCATCACGATAAGAACCTTTGATTTGGCTCAAATTGGTAAAATCAGTTGTTAAAATGTTGTGCCACGTGCAAAAAACATCACAAAAAGAACCTTGACCCCGAATGTGTAACGGTGATATCTAAATGATATGGGACTATAATACTTACCCCAAAAATTGTGTAATGAATGAGCATCAAGTGATTCACCATGCTCATCAATTTCAAAGAAGAAACTACGGAAATCCATAAGAAATTCGATGCATGAACCCATCGATCGATTGGAATGTCTCGACACACTCGCAAAAACATAATAACCGATAACAAATCACATACTTCGCACAACACAAACGCTATGACATCGTACCACAATTTATTCTTTCGATTTGTTGGCTCCCTTCGAATGCATGTCAATAGACATAATGCTAGTGCTAAAATGATACAAACGAAACGTTCAGTTCATAGTAAAAAAAATTCCAAATTTATTTCGATACAAACCCACGAGTAAATTGAATAGGAACCATGTGATAGCAAACGGACTCTCGTAAATAGGATAATTTCTCTGCAAAGATGAAACAAAACACAGATTTTGTATACAGCGTTTATGTTAACACACAGAGCATCGATGGTTCTTATCGTATTACCGCCAACACAAAACAAAGTACGCCTAATTGAATTGCCACAAATATATTTAGAATACACATTTTTATCTCTTTTCTCATGTTTCCATGGAATTTTATAGGCTATCGTTGTAACACAGAAACATAATATTGTTTACATTTTCCGTGACATTCAATGAAAATAAAAAAGGCATGCGCGACATTTGACACTTGGCCACTCTCCTATTATCCCTCTCTTTAGTTTCGCAACATGTGGAAAACAGTGGTTTATTCTGCATTGCATTTAGCCAATGGACGGATTGTCAAAAAGGAATCGGTTTTTTACGTTGAAGCTTCGTTTGGAATTTTACTCGTTTTTAGAAGAAAAAAAATTTGGTAGAATATTATGCAAATTCAATATCATTTTTGAAAAATGAATTTTCGCAATCAAAATGTGACACTGTCTTATGAAACTCTTATGCAACACTGCTTTGTACTGTTAAAAACGCTAACCGTCGTTAAATTTTTTCTTTTATTATTTGAATGTTGTATTGGATCAAAGAGAACAGAGTTAAAATTTTCATTTGTTTTTATTCAATCATTTCCTTTGTATCAATTTACAATATTCCACTTCGATTGTTAGACTAGATTTGGACTTAAATTTACACCTGAGAATGTAGTTAATGAATTCATTTATGGAAAAATAGAAAATAAAATACAGATAATAAATGCTTATTAATTTCCCTAAGCAGCAATGGCCATTTGATTCATATCCTGCAATTCATACGCATCTCCTCCGAATCGAAAGTTCGAAGGTGGATCAATTATTGTCTTCGTCCAATTGTCTCGAACTGTGGACACATTTTGCCAGAAAATAGAGTTAAAAGATTAAAATTGTAGGTTACAGATTTAAGAAATAAAAACTTGAATAATTTTTTACCTTGTGAAAAAATAAGAAAGCACATTGCGACGGGAAGAAACTTCTCGAAGAGTTCAAATTCAGGATCTTCCCTTGGTTCTCTGAATAACGGTAGGTTTCGAATAACTTCTATTAGACTACTTAAAAAGCTGAAGAAAAATTCCCAAGGTATATCTCTGAGTGAATTCAGCATGTTTGATGGAAAAATTCTTCGCCAAGCATTGTATTCGTTGCCATAACACAAATAGTGTCTGGTTGATAAAACTAAAATACATTCGAATTAATTTCGGCTTTTTGTTGGTAACTGAAAAATAGGGCTACATACCGATAAAAATAATAGGTGTGTTCACAGTAAAAAAAGCGGAAACACAAACCATGCCAACAAGTGACATAACGAACATGACGAAATTTGTGATGCAGCAAATTATCAGTACTGGTGCTCTATGGGTGGCAATCCGTTGCAATAATTGATCTTGAAACTGGAAAAATGCACTTTAGTTGGAAAATAATGTCGACTATTTAGCTACAAAAAATATAGCGAAAAATTGTATTCAAACGGATAGACTATATTAAATTTTAACTTACCTCATCATTCGTATTACAAATGAGTGTCAAGTGATTTGCGGTATTCATTAGTTTATAAGAAGATAAAATAATAAAAAATAGGATAAAAATCGATGGAGTCAATAATAGTCGATCAATTGGAATGTCTTGGCATATTCGCCAAAACATAAAAACCGAAAATAAATCACACGATTCAAACAACAGAAACATTGTAATGTAGTAGCACAACTTAGTCCTACGCTTTGCCCATTCACATTGAACAAATCCCAATAAGACTGTTGCAGTCACTGCAAGAGATTTTTTTTTCCCATTAATTAATTATTTTTCGAATAAATCTCAAGAAATTGTGGGCTTATTTTGATACAAACCAACAACTAGATTCAATATAAACCATTTGATAGCAATGGGGCTCCGGTAAAGTTCATGATTTTCCTTAATTAAGAATATAATTCATTAATTCCATTGCTTGAATGCATTTACTAATTAATATTTTACCTACCGAAAAATCAATGTAACTGTAAATTGTGACTCCTGTTATGGTTATACCACAAAACGGGAAGAAGATATAGTCGAGATAGTCCATGTTCCAGAAATGTGTAAATGATATTCGAAACATCAAAATAGAATATCGTTTACAATGTTTGATGACATCAAAATTAAATAAAAAGAGCATGCGTGAATTTGACATTTAAACACTGTCTCTTTGCATCCCTCTCCATAGGTTTGACGAAACTATGGTTACGCAGTACGCGAAAGACTTGTTGGTATTTGTTGATAAGGCATTACAGTAAGCCGACCGTAATCCCAAGTGAGAATATCATTTAAACAGCGGTTGATCTAAATTTTCATTCTTTTTCGTAGAAATTGGGAAATTTATTGCAGAAACGGATTGAAATGAAAGAAAAATGAGTCTCATACTGAATATGATGATACTATTTTTATTATAAAATTGCGATCTCAAGTACAAAATGTGATTTTTTTTTTCTCCGAGCCAAATATATTATCAACATCAATGGAATATTATTCCTTTAAATCAATCAACGATCCATCTGGCGTAGCCACCTTCACATTATCTTTTGCTCGCAAAGTGACATTATTTCGATGAGCCACTTGTTCCCAATTGCTATAACCATCCGGAGGAATATAGTGCCACTTATCGTATGTGCCTTTGATCTCAGTTATGACTTCCATGGAATTTGTAGCGGCCGCTGAAACGCCATCGTCGGTATTTCTCGACTCAGCAAAATAATCATTTCCAGGAAACGATACATGATCCCATGCAACAATTTTAAATAACTTGCAATCTGAAAAATTGTCCTTTTCTTCTTCGTATTCGTTCGGTTGGCACAATTGAGATCGGCCATTATTCTGGAATGCAGGCCGTACGCGATAGCTCACACGATCAAATTGTTGGGTTCCATTTGTGCATTCGCGGTGTGGATCAAAATAGATGCAAGCGATATTATGGTAGTTTCTTGCATGTTTTCTTAAAATATTCTGCAAAGCTTGATTCAAACGTTCACCCATTTTTCCTCGATATCTTCCCGCAAACGCTCCGCATCCTATACCAGGAATAGTGACCAACGCACGTTGATTGTCTTTCTTCGCATTTTCGTTGGCATAACTCAGCAGCGGCATTAATCTTCTCTCAACCAACCGGTTATACTTATCTTGATCGATGTCACTGCCCGAAATGACTTCGTTCAAATCGGGAGGCATTCCTATGATGGAACCTCGAAGCAACGGTCCGGGTGTAAACAGCAAAGTTCCATTCAATGGTGGATTATGCGTATGGAATCTCTCGTTATATGAGTCCCACACACCATTGTCGTAAATCTCAACATTCATTGCAATGCACAAATCGCCCAATATTTGCAATTCAATTTCGTTCCAATCGAGTCCACCTCCTCTAATCTCACTCTCAGCAAAAATGATGGGCTTCTTGGTCAACAATAATAGCTCGATGAAACGTTCAGTTGACGTTTGATTGAGATGCGATTTATTTGCTTCCAAAATTCCTCGCAGATACGAACCGGGCTGCACTTTGTGCGTATGCAAATCATTTTTGTACGAAACCAATCGGTTTAAAGATTCTTGGCTCAAAAGAATATCGTACTTTGGCTTATTTTCCATTTTCCTTTCTTTGGGGCTAATTTCTTGTGCAGAAAGTTCAATATTCCATCCAAAGAGAGAATATATCAAGATTATGAGCAACAAATCGGACAGTGGCATGAAGCAGTATTTCAGGTTTGAAGACTTGACAAACTGATATTTGAAGAGTTTGTTAAACGTTCACGATCGGATGTCTCAGCTAATGAAAATGTTGCTTTTTCACAGTGTTTCCCTTTGGAATAAAGAGAAAAATGTAAAAGTTAAAACAAAATTCAACGAATTTATCACGATTCGAATGGTTTTGGACAATAAAACAAAGTCATTCGAAAATCAGTCACGATGTTTGTTTCTAAACGAATTCTCCTTTCGTGTGTTGAAACAAGAAAATTCGTCATTCAACAGGATGAACTAAATTGAAGTTCAAGGCGACTCAGAGATCCGGTGTGAAATAACTGGTTTTAATATACTTACACTGGCTGCTTGCAGGAATGAATTTGATTATTCTAAATATACCCAATAATATCAACTGTGTTGAAGTGAATCACTGATAACTTTATTACTCATTGACCCATTGGAGAGTTTATTTTTGTTCAAAACCGATGAAAATAAGAACAAATAATTTCGAATTTGAATGTTCAGATTTAATGCAATTTTACGCACTATTGTGTCTGCTTCATTGAATTTATAGTGCAGAAAAGAGGAACGAAAATTAGTGAATTCTCCCTTACAATATAAATGCGTAGTTCAATTCCTTCGGCAGCAACTTTCGGTGTTCTTCCTCGATTTTGAAATAAACAAAATTTACTGGAAGTATGCGGTGTTTACACATTAATACGAAACTTATCTGACTGGCTGATGAACACAAACATCAAACAAGAACGATTGACAGCGCACACAATTTTCATGTAACAATGGATTGCGCATGTATTCAATGCAGATTTAAAATACAAACACTATAGCTGTGCGAAACACTATAGCTGTGTACAGCACACACAGTGTGCGCTGACAGATTTGAATCAAGTCAACGAAATAAAATTACAAATATGTATGTATATGTGCGAGCGGTTTTTTCAAATAAGAATAGAAATCAAGTTGGTCATTTCCAAGATTATTTCTTCATGGCTTTGTGTCATTAACATGATCAATGTAACTAATTTGTAGATTGTCAATTTGTCGGTTTGTTTGCATTGATTTTGTCTTTGGGGCATAACTGTATTTTATGCAAAATAATGGTTTCAATCAGAGTGTTTATTGAAGTGAATATGTATCTGTAGCTGTATGTAAATGTAGCTCAGTTGGCTGAGTCAAGCCAAAATATATATAAATATACCAGATATTATGGAGATGATGAATAAAATCCAAAATAGATTTTTATTTACTTCTATACTTTAATGAGTCAGAGGGTGGCCATGGCCAGTCATATTTCATATTTCATATTTCATATTTCATATTTCATATTTGTTTCGATTCCCAAAAATGAGACTTTTTATCATATATAAATGCTTAATTCAATTAATCATATGTTTGGCTTATATTATTTGGTCATTTTGAACTTCGAAAGAATTCTGCCAGTATTTTTCAAAAAAACATTAATAAGAATAATTTCTTTTTCGGGAATTCTTATTTTTATTAGTTCTTCTCAGATAAAAACTCCTAAAAGTGGCTTTTTGAGATACCTCCCGAACAAAAAATGAAAAAAGCCACTTTTAGGAGTTTTTATCTGAGGAATACTCCCATTATTTTTGTCAAAAAATAAATTTTAACCAAGACACCAGCCCCTAAAAGTGTATATTTGAGAAATTTTCGATTTTTTTAGAGTTGAAATCGAATATGAGGCTAGAAATATGTGAAAACATATCTCAACTTGGTCATGTAGGGACCCAAAATGTTCGTAAAGGATCATTCTATAAGTTCAAAGACTGCATAGGTAGAAATCGTTTGCTTTTATCTGTCAAATCGAAGCCCGTAGTCGTGATTTGATAACTTTTGTCCGAAATTTCTCTTTTATGTGTGAATCAATTGGCACCAAATTTCATCCAAATCGCAATCTGGCAAGTACCAAAATGTTTGTATAGGTTCTGGCTACACGACACAAATCTAAAACTGAACAAAAGTACACCATCTGGGTGACTCGTAGAGCAGAAAATGTTGAAAATGCCGAAAAATTGTCATTTTTCATTTTTTTGTCATTTTACACTGTAACTGGCCCAGAATGCGGTTTCAAGGGCTAACGTCTGGTAAAAGTTAAGATAATGACGATCCAAACAAAACCTCATCATCAATTTTTGCCGAAAATTGGCTGGAATAATGGAATCAGCCGAAATGTTGCGATCTAAATGGCCTCCGAAATCGCTGTCATGAAAAATTTGATATGGGCTTGCGTCCTGATTTTATATGGTACCCATGTACGTTCTTTGCGCCAAACCTATTTTTTTCGTGGTATATTCTTCGAAACTGGCCGGACATTCCAGATGAGGGATAACTTTTTGTTTGGAGCTGTCTAACTTCTACACAACCATGTTTATCCAACCTAACCGATGAAACTACGATACCACCTTAACCTTTTGACTGTCTTTCCTGACATTTTTGTCAGTCGCTCCGAAAATCTTGAAAATAGTACTTTTTTTAAATTATTTTTTGATGAAACTCTAGGACTCATTTAATTTTGATCCTCAAATTTCGAAAATGATCCGAAAAATATTTAAAATGATCAGAAACTTTTTTTACAAATTTGATCCGAAAAATTTGCAAAGTATCCGAAAAATATACAAAATGATCAGAACTTTTTTTTATTAGTTTGATATTTTTCTGGTAATTTTCCATATGTTCGGATCATAATTAATTAATCCAAACTCTAGGTATGCTCTTTTCGATCATTTTTTTTCTTAGTTCCCAAAAAAAAGTGAAAAAATAAATCTATTTTCCTATGAAAACCCAGCCCGAAGCAAAAAAAGTCATTGGCTGTCTTTCCTGACAAAAATGTCAATATATATTTAAACCAATAAATAAAGTTGAAAAAAAAGTTTTTGAGCAAAACGAAGAAAAGTTGAAGAAGACGCTCTCGTGATCTCAAAACCATATTTCGTTTCATTGGGTTACGGTATGATTTAGTGCATTTTGGTTTTTTGAAAGATTTTTTGGAAAGCCACTGTTCTCTGAGCACATTTAAGGCTGTAACTTTTTTCGTAGAATAGCTATTACCAAAAATAAATTGCCTCTGAATAGTGGAATAAATTACCATTCAAACGCGCTATAAATTATTAGGATCGGTGCAGAAGTTAGAATTTTATAGACCCTAAATATGAGGATTAAATGAAAATAAGACGAACACCTTATTGACTCCACAAAACGTTTTTCGATCAAAATATTCACATTTCATTTGTCAATTCAGATAAAAACTTGTAATGGAATCTGAATTGACAAATGAAATGTGAATATTTTGATCGAAAAACGTTTTGTGGAGTCAATAAGGTGTTCGTCTTATTTTCATTTAATTGTTATAGACTTCACGGTGTTCAACACCAAAACAGTTAACTAAATATGAGGAGTGAACAATAAAACTAGTCTACTTCACTAAATACCGGGCTAAATATACACAAAATAGAGAATAGTTTTTGCCAGTTTCAAAGTTCTATCATAAAGAGCATTGAATTTAGATAAATTAAGACATAGTTTGCTTGCTATACGTCCACTAACAAAGAGGGGACATGTGTACAAAAGCGCTCGCGCACGTCAAAAACCAAGAAAAATCCAAAACTGAATACAAGCCAAAAATGATGTTCCAAAAAGTATGCATATATATGTAATATATATTACGTATAAAAGCCGAAACTACTAAAAACGAAAAGAGAATGTTGTATTTTATTAATTATGATGAAAATTTAAAAAAAAACACTGGATTTTATTAATTTTTCCCGTACATTTTGTGGGTGACAAAAATGTCAGGAAAGACAGCCTACGTTTCATTTAGGTAAAGACAGTCAAAAGGTTAATGAAATTGCAACAAAACACCAATCTCGTTTTAAAAAAATTGTGGCAAATACAATGAATTACACGCATAACGCGAGGTGCTAAGCGAATTTCAATAAATACTATATTTAGCACGTTGTAGATTAGCTTACCACGATGACTTTCGGATAATCGTAGCAAAAATGTGCCTATGGGTGAATGGAAAAGCCTGTTTTCTGTTTCAAATCTACTAATGAAGCCTGCGATAAGACCAGCTTTCCATTCTCGGCTTAGATGTAGTCTTACCAATTTCGAAATATCGTAAAACCAAGCAAAAAATGTAAAACCTTGAGACATTCTATTTCTACCGAATTCCTTCCGTGAGATTCAATGGTCAGCATCGAAAGGTTGAGATTTGAACCATTTTTCATCTAACGGTGGAAATTGATGATGATTTTAATACAATTTTATATTGGTGAAAATGTGGAAAGGCATAAAGGTGATAAAAACGATAGTTACACAAGTATAGCTTGTCTGCTTCAGTTAATTCGCAGCCTGTTTGACAGTATTTTTCATCCAGGTAACCTCATTTTTTTGTATATGTTCTCTACGAGAACACCTTGATACTGCCCACATTAATGATGAAATTTCGATTTTCATGTTGCCGTTAAACCCGACCCATGATTTCAAGCGGACGAACCCATCAAGGACAACACAGATTGCCCGTGTGCCATTCTCTTTGGGATGCCGCTGATTGCAGCAAGCATGAGCGGGGCTGAGTGCAAATTTCCAAACCACCCGCGCGGTATTCAACTGAGCTCACACAAATCACGCAGCAAAAATCAATATTAAAATTCTGACGAATTGTTTTCCGTACATTCCTTCCATATGTATTGAAATGATGATACTTATCTGTGATGTTTACACTTATTTATTGTAAATTCATTTTGTTCTTTGTTAAAGCCATCCACGAGTTGGCGACTTAATATTTTTATCATTGAAATCAAAATTGAATTATTTATCAAATAGCATCAAATGCTCTAGTTACGTTTCAAATCATAGTCCATGTCAACTCAATGCACTCTGCAATCAGCATGGATCTGCCTTTACAGACGTAAAACTTCTCGTCAATTTATCTACCTGTATAAATTGAGCGACGACTTTTGCTGTCCTAGAGTCTCAAATTAACGCGTAATTAAACGCTTCACATAGCCTTTGTCCCTTGGAAACGTTTACCAAAGGTTATCTTGGACCGTTTGCCATAGACTTATATCAGGCATTTCCATCTTGGTTGCATGACTGTTTTCGTTTTCATGTTCCTACTATTGTGATTACCGCATAATTTACGAAAAGAGCCAGGTTTTTAACGAGGCGAGAACTGATAGTTATCAAAACCTGTTGCTACTAATTGTTTATTATTTTAAATATGTAACAGTCTTGCACTCTTTTCCTGCCAAACCTCAATCAAAACCCTCATTATATTCAGATGGATATTCAAATCTTGGCAAATTTGCCGAAATGACTTCGGGTAGGGCGATTTCAATTGTAGATTTTATGTACTTTAATGTAGTGTTTTTACTTTTTTTATGTAGCAACAATTTTTTCGAGTAATCGGCTATCGAAAAACTGTTATAAAATGGGACAACTCAAATCTTGGTCAAAAAACGTATTTTCCACAAATCGAATTTTTTTTCGAATGAAGAATGGTTCCAAAAAATTGTAGATAAATTGTAGAATTCAAATCAATTGTCTGTTCTCAAATATGTCTGCCCGTTCGTTCGATATCGGGACGAGTCTTGAAAATTGGTCCAAAATCGGTAATACTCAAATCTTGGCCACAAATTGAAATTTCCAAAAACTGAATCTTCCTCTTTTGATGCTAGGTTCCATAAAATTGTAGAAAAAATGTAGAATTCAAATCAGTCATCCGTTCCTTGATGTTTTCAACAAGTTATTTGGCTACGGGGGAGTTCAATATTTAATATGGGAATAAAACTGCTATAAACTGTTAT